CATCTTTATGGATTACATCCATATTATGATTCACTTTCAGCCGGCGCCATATCGTCCGATAACCGAAAGACTGTCCACTATAATGCATTTCCGTACCAATTACACGAACAACGTTTTTTCAACTGCGATTGCAAATGTACACCTCGACGTTTCAGGTTCAACTTCTTCAAGATTCTTTTCAGCTGACGCAGTGACAAAACAAAATACCATGCTTAAGTAGCAAAATTCCAAGAATTTCACTGTATTTACAACCTTCTTTGAAATATTCTTCAATGAGTGATGCTTTATCAACATTCGGAGACGACAAAGGCAGGTAAGCTGGGTACCACACCAGCTGTTATCTTCAACAGAGTGCACAGAAAACAACACGCAAACACGAATTTCATATTTTGGCACAACACAGCCATACCGCTCATTACTCACGTGCTCTCTTAAAGTGTTGTTAAATTAATTAATTTCACAACTAAGAAGTAGTAAGTCTTGAGTTAAAAGTCAAAACTCCCAAGTCAAAAGTCATTAAGCCAGAAGTCAAAAGGGCCCTCCAGTGCTTCCATAGTATTGTAGATCTACACGTGTACAACTTTGTAGACCGCATTTACGAGTTCCTGCATGGTACAAGCTTTGTACTTAGCATATAAATATACATCAAATGATTTTTTTTTATAAAATAAACAATATTTTAATAATATTTAATAAGATATTTAAAATGCTTCTTACTGTTTTTATTATGGAATCACACACTGCATGACGAATGAAGCAATTTGCATTTATTGCCGCGTCCATTTGTTTAGTTACGACGTTGATGAACGTTTGATGACGTTGTTGATTATTATGACGTAATAACGTCCTTTGCATTCTTAGATTTGGTAATGTCAATAAAAAGTTAAATATTATGTTTCTCATTAAGGGCGTTTTTATGCATGTGCGTAATTTAAACGAATTTACTATTAGGCATTTTCTTTTCTTTCTTTTATACACAATATCCGCAACAGTAGACTAAAATGAAGAATGTGTGGTAATATTCTAATCCACAGAATTTTTTTTTTCTTTTTTTTTTTGTGGCGACAGAAATCTTAAATTTATTGATTGCTACATACTTGTTGAGAACTATATTTAATATTAAAAAATCTCTTCTGGAGATGAATAAATCAACAAAGGGTTTACTTTACACTAATGATATACAGTGAAGGACATACAAGACCTGATATTAAATCAATTTAAGTTTATGATAATTCCAAGTAATTTCTAATATTCTTTGTCAGTATAACTATCAGGTTAACTCTTTGCAACTTAAATAGACATTATCTGCGTTATCTGTATTTTATTGCTAACCTCAACACATGTTGGTCAAGAATGTATTAAGCAATTAACTGATAATAGATGTAAACAGTTGGATGCTGAATTCTGTACCATACTTCCCCTAAATTTAGCTATTGAAATAAAAAAGTTTTAAAAAGTTTTATTCATTTTGAGTTATTTTACAATAGATACTGTTACATTTCTGCAACTATTTTTTTTTATAAGGAACCTTGTTGGGATAAAACAGAATGCAATGTTGAAGAATTCAAATGTCCAGCTAATCTCTTCAAAACATTTTGCTAAAAGTGTATCGCAATATTAATCGTATGTAATTGAATTTTTGATCCAAAAATATATTGACAGAAAAAAACATCAAAACAAAAACAAAAACAAAAGCATAATAATAATAATAAAAATAATAATAATAATAATAATAATAATAATAATAATAATAATAATAATAATAATAATGATAATAATAATAATAATAATAAGCAGAAGAAGAAAAAGAAGAAGAAGAAGAAAAACAGGGTACAATATATAAGTTAATATTAAGTAAAAAATGTTGGTGTGTTAACTAATTACCCGATAGTCACGCCTTTTTTACCCCCCCCCCTCCTTTATTATAGTCTCAAATCGTGAAAAAATGCCTTATTTAGGCCCCCAACACTTGTTTTTGTTTGAGAAATGTTGTTTATCAAAGTGACCACTTTTTCGGCGCAGCCCCTATCCAAAAGATACGTCAGGGGATGTGCCCCCCTTCTGTTTGGGGGTATGAAGCGGCAGCCGCCTCATCGCCATGAAAAATTTTGACTTGTGAGAGGCTAAACATGACCCCAGGTCGATCATAAGGTACCGTGTAACAAAGCCTTTAACTCTATCACAATCCATTGAGAAGTTGCAGCACTTTGAAATCAATTTTGAAAAAAATCAACGCAAAATATTTGGTGATTTTTGGCAATTTTGAGATGCCCCCTCGTTGCCATGGTAATCGGAAATTTAAGACTGAGCATGTTGTTACAAAGGCAATGGTCCAGTCAACATTTGTGCCAAGTTTGATTAGTATTGAAGTTTTGATAGTTTTATAGCAATTTGAACTTGTAGTGGGAGACTTTTCAATGAAAACAGCCATTTTTCAGAAAATGCTCATGCAGTAATGGGTTCCTGCATTGTCATCTAACGTGTAACTATTAATCCAAGTGCTGTCGAATTATATATTTTTATTTTTATTTATTTTTTTACGTGTATGTATCAATACCTAGTTTTCCCTGACTAAGCTTTTATTACTTTGACACACTAACACGATAGATTGTGTACCATATAATTTTGGCGTGTGACCTTTGAGAAAAAATAGTAAAATAATTTTGAATAAACAAAGAAAAATTGGGGAAAAAAATCCGATCTTCTTCCGTAAACTGATCCATGACATTTCTGTGAATAAAACTTTTAAATTAAGGATTATTCCGTACATTTAATATTTTTCATTTACATTTCTATAGAAAAGTGTGATATTTAATCTACAATTTGATAAACTTCCTGTTTTGCTTGTAACAGTTATAAATTATCATCTTTTGAATAACTGCTAATTGATAGTGGGCTGCTATCTTAAATTGCTTCTATACAACCTCGAACTTACAAATATATTTGTTTTTCTTTATCTAAAAAAATAGTGTTATTATTTAAACGATGCCAAGAAGTCGGGTGGCGGGATACGGACAAAAGCCCCCCGGACGAAAGCCCCCCCGTCTAAAAATGACAAGGTGGACAAAAGCCCCCCCCCATGAAATTTACACATAGGACAAAAGCCCCCCCCCCCCCATAAAAAAGTAAAAGTAGGACAAAAGCCCCCCCCCCCCATAGTCAATCTAATTTACATATAGTGTATTAAAGTTGTGTTTTTATGTGTTTTAAAGATATGTATGGACATCACATGAAGGTGACAAAGTGCTAAGGATATTAATTTGATCCCTTTGCAAAAGTGATTAAAAATTACTACTCTTCTGACCCTTGTTGTGTATATGAAAATCTATGAATTTGGTATCGCATGCATGCATTATTTAATCTGTTATCATAAACTTTGTTATCACTCCAAATATACATTATAAATTAACATTAAAACAAATTCTTTTCATTTTAATTTAAAAGTTTGTGTGAAATTTGATGAATTTGAGCACCTGTGAGTGTGAAAAAGATGGGGGGCTTTTGTCCTACCTGTATTTTTGATGGGGGGCTTTTGTCCTATTTGAAAATTTCATGGGGGGGCTTTTGTCCACCTTGTCATTTTAGAAGGGGGGCTTTCGTCCGGGGGGGGGGCTTTTGTCCTACACTCCAAGAAGTCATTTTACCCGTGATTGGTATGCATAGTGACGCAAATTTTAGAGTGTCCCGGTTAAAATTTGAACATATCCGAATGAAATAGCGCGCGTAGGAAAGCCACAGCTGCCATAAACACATATTTCAACCTGTGACAAACAGGTGTTTACTTGTGATGTTAGCGAAAACTAATGTTAAATACTATACTATCGGTGGATGGTACATTCAAAGATGACCATTATATATATACATAATGGTATTTTGACTTTAACCTACATGTAGACACTCAAAATTAAGCCTTGGATAGGTATATGTCATTTTATCAGTCCAGTTCAACGCATACCACCCCTTACGTCATTAATTCAACAACTATGTAATGTTAAACTTGTTTCTTATGCACCTTGGTGATTTATAATGCTACAGTGCCACTATTACAATTCAATTCAATTAAAATGTATAATTATTTACATATGTACAAAGTAAAGAACTGAAATTTACTGAGATTTATCTAAACTCGTGGGTGAATATGCCAGGTGCAGAACAATTTTTTGTGGGATTTTGAAAATAAAAACCAACCTTATCTCAAATCTCTCAAAATCATATAACGAACAGAAAGACTGGACTAACAAACATAATCCACAAAAAAGCACGAGAATGATGACAAAATTTTATTTTGATCTGCTCGAGCTCCTCGTTGTACCAGACTATCCGCCGTGAATTTTGTAAATTTATTTATAACACAAACACTTATGAAATCAATAAAAAAATCTACCGAAGAAAACGGCCTTTTTTAAACATAAATATTTATAAGTGCCGATGCCAAAACATACACAGTTAAAAATGCATAGAACATGTAGGACGTATGGGCTTATAAGCATAGGATACAATTTAAAGCAGGCACGGAAATTGACGCATGTGCTGAGGTTAAATATAAGTTTATAATTTTCCCGCAGCTTGAACAAGCTCAATCAAACCGAGCCTTCAACATTTTCAATTTTGCCGTGTTGGGCTTTCTTTAGTAATTCTGTATTTATCTATTTTGTAGAAAACAGCGCACAGAAAAAATAATATTATTTAAAAATCAAATAAACGATCTATGCCAAAATCGAAATAGGACATAATTATTAAGACTAATGTCAACTTTCAACATGTCAATTGAACAGACTGTGTTTTTTTTCTACTACACTGTGAAAGAGTTATTGAAAAAAAATCATTGCCAAAAATTATCCCAGTGTCTCTTTGACATGTCTTATTATTTGAACGAGGCCGAACCACAGAGCTTTTGTAAAGATCCATAAGTCTCTGGCTGGACAATGTCACAAATGAGCGAGTCGCGCAACTTTAAATTGCGATTCTCACTAACGTGTAAATTTTACACTTCACAATTAGTGGTCCGTGACGTTTAGATTGACAACAACCACAACATGAAATTATGTATTGTTTAATAATTGATTATTTATTGATATAAAACTTGCATTCCAAAACAATGAACGTAAAACAGTCATGAATGACAGTGACTCTAGCTCTAACGATAGCTCAGTGGAGGAAATTGATATTAAACCAGTGAGACCAGCACCAAGATCTCGGGCCAGGCCAAGGCAGAACCACGAGAATCATGGGGTCAGCCCAGCTAGGTCGCTGAGCCCTAACTCAGTGTTGAATTGCAGCGGAGATACAGCTGCAATAAAGCGTTGCATTGATGTAAGTACTTTATTAAATTGTTTGCTTTAACTTTTTGTTTTTATGTATTGAAAAAAAAGAATGGTGAAAAAACGCATTAACATCTATAGGACCCTTGTCAGTCAGTCATTATATAGTTAGCCACGAGTTTCACATGATTGACGCATGCTGTTTCATAACAATACAATGCTGGCAACAATAGGTGATAAGTGTGGATGTTTTTATTCAGTTAGTTCACCTGTTCTTTGTTCACTAGATTTACAAATGTACAATGGGAAAATGTACATGTAGTTTCAACCACTATGGGAGTACCAAAAAGAATGGTTTATTGAATTGGTTCTTTAAGTTACATTGATAATAAATGCTTTTTATTAAAAAGCTGTTCACAATATATAGGACATGGAAATTTATGCAACATTTTTTGTGTCTTTTTCATTTTATTCATCTTTATTTCAAAACCTTTCTCCAATAATTACACTGCCCTAGTAGACTTAAATATTTGTATATAAGATGGGAAATATACAAAAATGTTGTGATTATATACTTTTTACTGTCTTTCCAATTACAGAACTACAGCTCTGTAAACAGCAGTGGGTCCCAATTTCCCTCAGTGGTGCCGCTAAACGTTGGTGGAATTAGATATGTCACAAGACTGTCAACGTTAAAGAAGTACCCAGACTCGATGCTGTCGGCTTTATTCAGTGGGAGATACCAAGTGGACAAAGATGTTGATGGCAATTATTTCCTAGACTCAAATGGAATTCTTTTTGGATATTTGTTAGAATTTCTTAGGAATGGACTTCTACCACCGAGAGAGCAGTCAGTGCCGCTGTACAGGGAGGCAAGTTACTACGGACTTCATGAACTTGTTGAGAAACTGACCTACATGCCGCCAGTGGTCTCCCTTTGTGTCCGAGAAGCCCATAAGTCTCAATTTCCAAATTACGAGGAGATTAAAGAAAATGTGATAAAAATAGCAATGGAAAATGCAACATTCACTAAAATGGGAGAAGTTATTATTTACGCTTTCAAGACAGAATTTGTTGCCAAAGTGAACACGTTTAATCCAAATCATGGATGTATAGTGGAGTCAGCTCATATCAAATGTGGACCATGGGATGCCCCAGTAGATGAGGAAGTGTTCATAAAGTGTTTAGAAAATGACCTTATTGATGATGGTTTCAATGTGAAACCACACGAGGTGAAGAAAAAATGCCGCTATTATCACGGTCAAAGCTGTCAAAAGTTTGTGTATCGATTAACTTTGATGCTTTGAACTGAAAGCAATGAACAGTCTTTAGTCAGTTTTAGTTTACATGAATATTAAAAATGGGGTGGGGAGAATGTCCAAACAGAGGTTTTGTTACATATATTTATTAAATTACCTGTTTGTGGGATATGCAATACTTTAATCTGTTTAAATCTGCTGTCACCCACACACAGTTGTTTGTAATTTATTCTGGAAGTATCTCATCATCCTATATGTTTAAGGTGATTAAATAGGCTTTGGTGTGAAGTTTGCAGTTACCATGACTGAGATTAGCCGTTGGCATGACCTAACACTTGTAGTAACAGTCAGTTGTCTTAGTAACAGTTGTCCTACCTGAATTGAGACAGATATATATATCAGGGCTCTCGATTGACACTGGGATCCGGGTTTTGACTCGTGAAAATCAGGAAATGCACAAATTTGACACGTGATAAAATCTGCTCAAGAGTCAATTTGCCACGTGGGATTTTCAGCTATGCAATAATAATTACCTTAAATCCACACCTAATTACCTATCAAATCCTACACATGTTCAAATCACACTAAAAAAATGTCACCGTGTGTAATACACAGCATTGTTTATAGCCTGTGCACTGAAGCGCGACATCATTGGATGCAATTTGGCAGCGCTAAAAATAGCTCTACACAACTGATAAGAATTACATACTTGAGGTGTCAATTATTGATTGCTTTTAAAGGTTTATAATACCTCTGATTTACTTGGAGTGCCTGTACATTTGTTATTTTCCATTAAATATTCCTAGTGCATTTTGGTATTTAAAATTAATATGATATATACCATACCAGTAAAGATATTTCTTTATATTTTAAACTTTTAATCAGAAAAGCTGCTGCTTAATTTATTTTTCACAGTAAAGATGCTATTCATTTTTTTTTTAATTTGTATGTTTTTTTGTTGTCTTTTTTTCTTCTTTTTAGGGGGTTGGGGGTGGGGAGGGGTATATATACATTATAACAAGGCATTTTTTTTGAGAATCTACACAAAATGACCTCCAAAACAGTAATTTTTGTAACATAAAAATGATTCATGTAGTCAAATGACACTAGAAAAAAATTATTTGACTCGTGAAAATTTTGGCCAATGAGTCTTTGACTCGTGAAATTCTGACCCTACTGAGAGCCCTGTATATATGTAAATAGCCCTCTATACAAATATTTCTAATTATAATATTGTATTGGTGTTTACTTCTGCTCGTATAAATGGTAATTTTTCTTGTGGCAAGATAAATAGACACATGGCAAAACGAAACATAACTGTGCTTTGAAATTATGGCTGGATTATAGTGCGAACTTTCTAAAGCTGGTATTCCTGGAAGCACTGACATGTATTTAGGGTTTTCATTATTAACAGATTGGCAATCCATATCATCATTTGAACATCCTCGGTAACCCATGCTTACGTGTTACGTAATACGTATACATTTACTTCGTGATGAATGTAGTTCAGGGAAATCAGTACCAATGGATTCTTACAATGAGGTTGTTATACTGTTAAAATCAGTGGTTGTTTTTTTTTCAGCCTTTAAATTAAATATCAACCAAATCGTCATCTCCATATGAATGTATGAACCAGAGGTGCAGTGTGATTTGTTAAGACTTTATTTAAAAAGATGTTCATTCATCAAATCAGTGTGAATGGGAGTACAGTAGCTTTAACATTATTAATGTACATTCTTTTAAAATACTCAAACTTATTTATATTCAGGGTTCAGGGTTGTTTTTTATGTGTAGAAATTTCCTCTCTACCTGTTGTTTTCGTTGACAGGTTATATTATGTATTTGAGGTCAGAGTAGGGAAAAATGATTAGTTTTGTGGTATTTGGACCAGCATTATAGTGTATTTATATCAAGGTAAAGATGATTTTGTTGTCAAGAGTTTTTTCAAAGTTTTTTTTCTTTGGCAGGACCAAAAAAAAAATTTGTTGTCTGGGCCTCCTTATCTACTTCTATTTTAACTGCCCACTTTTAAGACATTTAATTTCCCATTTTACATTTTTCAAATCATGCCAACTGGCTCATAAGTACATTTCAAAACTGGTTAGAAAGAGGTTTTCCTTTTCCTTATCTTGAGGGACTTTGATTTATTTTGGTAAGGCAAGCATAAAATCTTTGACAGTAAATGTCTTGATAAATAATAATTGTCATTGATCGAATGGCACAAATTTTCCTACACAATTATGTGTATATGTTAGTTTACAAGTAGTTCTAATATTAACAAAGAAACCTTTGTTTATCAAAGTTTAGTCATTTATAATCAAAATTTAATTACCTTTTCTATTTTTTCTTCTTTTTTTTTCTAATATATTAGTTTGTTTTGATTATACCTGTTATTTCAGGCATTAAAATTAGTAATATTTATAATTTATTTGTGAAGTGTTGTTTTTTTTCTGTTGTTGTTTTTTTAACTGACCACACTTTTAGTTTTATTTATGATCATTGTTTTCTTTTGTTGTGTAATGAACTTTTTAATGTAGACAATGGTACAAAAGTGTTCCAACAAGGGTATAAATGCAATTATTTACACATATATTTGTGTTTGTTAAAGAATTGTCAAGGTTCTTCATTTGATACTTCATTTTTTTAGTGTTTGTAAATTGTACAAAAATTGTTAATGATTTAATTTGATATTTTGTCTCTGTCTCAATAGTTAAATTTTTGTTAAAACTGCAAAACTTGATTCAGAATTAAAAAAAAAAAAAGAGGAAAAGTTTTACGCAGCTCTTTGTTTGTTCTTTTGTTTCACTTGATCCTTTTGTGGAAAAAAATGTTTTAAGCTTGACTATACGATGGATAATGGAGCTTTCTTACTCCACTGGCATTGGCTTAGATGCAACATTTGGAGGTTTTGTATACTACAATGTGTGTACATCTCAAGAACTACTACTGATTCAGTGAAACATTTAATGCATCTGCAGGTTCACTAATCTGTGACGCACAACTCAAACATGGATTTTTGCAGAAATATTGGCCATGGTGAATTAAGATAATATTTTGTGGTCGTTCATCTACTTTCACCCACCAAGTATATGTTGGCAGTGCAACAGAGTTTAAATACATTGTATAACCCAAAGACTAGAAGACATTGCGTGACCTTGATCATAATGTTAATTTAATTCAGTTGCTTAGATGTTAATATCTTAGTTTATGCCAGGTTAGCTTAATAAGGAGAGACAAATATTAATCAAGGGGTTGCTGGTATGATCCTAGAGCAAGACAATATTTCTCCATGACAAATGACCTGTGACAACGAGTTTAATAGTCATTTATCTCTTGTAGATGATTCAATTATCATGTTGCATTAATTTTAGTCATATGCGAAGAAATTGGTTAATTTTAATATTAGTTTGTTATAAAGGAAAAAATGCAGGGTTGGTGTTGACATATGACCGAAAATGTGTTAAAAATGGCATAAAAAGACTGAGAAAAAAGTCAATTTTGATAAACAGATGGTAGATTTATCTTTTGCTCTCTAGAATCTGCAATGATTGATTTATACAGAATTTATTTTAGTTTGATTATGTAGGAAGCTATAAGATTATAGACATACTCTCACAACCGTTCCTGGAACCAACCAGTACCAAGCAATGACCTAATGGGAAAGTGATCTTTAGACTCAATCCGTCACTTTATCTGCACTGATGTTACACATGCTGTTTGGCTAGTATTTGATTTCAAAGTACAAATGTATTCACTTGAAATGGGTCTCCAGTCATAACCAAGACCCATAACTCATGAATTATCTATACAACCTCTGATTGTGTTATAAATGGTCAATAACTTAACATGTCTTCAAGGTTAAAATTATAAGGCCATTCTAAAGTAAAAAAAAATAAAAAAAAATACATCTTTTAATTTCCATGTGGAATACCTGGTGTGCTATGCCTAGGACTTAAATTACACACTTTAACCCTATACCAGCTGAATTTATATAATGGACTTGTCCAGCTGCCATTTTTAGAACTGTCCATTACTAATTTTGGGGATATTTAGATGGAAATTTGAAGTTTATCTGCAAACAGTATACAGATGTGTAGGCTGGCCTGGCTCTATACTGGTGGCAAGGGCTTTCTACTTCCAGTTTAAGCAGGTTAAGGTCTATATAGCAGATATGTCTTGAGTTCCTCCCCCTTACTCTACATAAGTCAATCTCCTCACAGTGATTACCTCCCTTGACAGAATTGTAATCACAGACGTCACATGATGATGAAAGTAACATGACGTAACGTCAATAAACAAATGTAAATATCAACCGTTACATAGAAAATCTATAGAAAATCATTTTTCTCTTTCTGTTTTATTTTTAACTTTTCGTACCTACGTTCGTTATATTTTATCAAAAAAATATCAAAAGTATACAAAACAATGAAAAATAAATTTAAAAGCTAAAAAATATAAAATATCAGAAATTCTGATATATCAGACCTTGGTGGCAGAGATCTCTGTACTGATAAGGGGAGATCACTGCGTAGGAGATTGTACATTAGTAAATGTAGGTAGGGAACCAGACTAATACCAGATTCACTTTCAACTTAACAAATCAGATAAGCTTAGTATTAACACCAACACTATTGTTTAAAACAGTTTTACACAGACAAGCAACAAAGTTGTAACTCTCTTGAATTTTTATTTATTTTAGCGCAAGAAAAAAAAGCAGTGACCTAGTGGTTGAGGTCAAGGGATCATGGATTTGAACCCTACTAAGATCATGACCATCTTTCTTTATATGAGAACACTACTGCCCTTAAATCAACAGAAAGCTAATCAACAAAAAATCTGATAACATTAGTAATAAAGGGAGAATGTTATTGATATAGGAAATATTGTTTCAAGTGAACATACATGTATTAAACAAGTCAATCCACATATTGCAAGTAGAAATATATCAATAAGACAAACTTTGAAGATGTATAAAATGCCAATAAATATATAAAAAGATCTCAATGAAAATATTAATTGCAGAGTCATCAATAAAACAAAATCTCAAAATACTATTGCATCAAGAATAACAAATATAATATGCAAATGTATATAAAGAAAAATACATCACAGATAAGAGACAAAAAAAACAACAACAACAAAAACTTCATCTTAATTTAAACATTTTCACCGAACATTTTCATAAAGTAGAAATTATCTTGGATATTAATAAATATGACTCATAGAGAATATTAAGTCATAATTATACTGAATTTATTTAATGAGTTGAATAAAACTATCTTATGCGAGCCTCTGCCAAGTATGATATTCATTTATTTCACAAGTTCAATAAATTCAGTATTTTTTTTTTTTTACTTGGGTTTTACGTCACACAAACACAGTATAGGTCATGTTCCAGCTTTACTGGTGGAGGAAGACCTCAGGTGCCCCTCCGTGCATTTTTTCAGGCCTGAAAGGGCACCTGAGTAGAACCATCGACGTTCTGTAAGCTAGCTGGATAGCTTCCTCACATTAAAGAATACAAAGTCCCTGCTGGGATTCGAACCCACAGTGGTGAGGGGCAAGTGGTTTGAAGTCAACGACCTTAACCACTCGACCACGAGTAATAAACCTACACCAATATAATATTCTATTTATCACATACCCTAAATATAGACTGTTTAAAGTGCAAAAGAATCATTTTCATTCAATTGCACTATGGCGCATGCTAACATTTTGCATGTCTTTACACTACGTATAACACAAATGACATCATGTCCAGATATATGCAAGGCCATGCAACACCATTTATCTTGAGTGGCCATGCAACATCATTTAACCTGAGTGGCCATGCAACACCATTTATGCTGAGTGGCCATGCAACACCATTTTTACTGAGTCAGTAAATCAGCACGGGTAAAAAGCATCATGACCTGCATTTTGTGAGGGAAAGGAAAGAAATTTCAGTAAATGCTACTTAATTTTTTGGCAGGGTATCCTTGAATCTTTTCACCGTAAAAAAAAATTGTGTCTCTGTTGAGCTAATGTGTATACCCCATGATAGATTTCTTTAAATTGGTGGTTTTAAACTAGAATTTTTATGGTGGGCTTTGCTTTATTATGTAAACAATATGTTTACTTATGATTTTAATGCATATGTTCTAGTGATAAATAATATACACATATAAAAAAATTACATCATTTATGTTTTATATATAAATGGTTTTTTTTCAAGCCCATTTTTTATATTTTTTTTTGGGTCGGGGTGGGTGTTGATAACCTAACCTTCCAAAAAAATTTTATCCGAGCTTCCATGCATATAAAGTGTAAGGTTGAATATGTTGAAGTTAATAAGCCCTCTTATTGATGGGCTTTTTGCTGTAAATCCAAGGAATGTGGTCAAAAACCATACGCTTAAACAAAATTTCAATTTCTGTTTCAATTTCAGTTATGATTTTTTTATCAAATACAGCAACAACAAAAATTCAATTCTGAAAATAACTTAAATAACTATCACCCTGACCATAACCAAGAAAAGAATCTACATTAAATGTATTCCTAAAGTTAATGAAAGTCAGTACATATACGAGCCGCGTCACGACAAAACCAACATAATGGGTTTGCAACCAGCATAGATCCAGACCAGCCTGCGTATCCGCGCAGTCTGATCAGGATCCATGCTGTTCGCTTACAGAACCTATAACAAGTAAAGAAACTGAAAGCAAACAGCATGGATCCTGATCAGACTGCGCGGATACGCATGCTGGTCTGGATCCATGCTGGTCGCAAACCCATTATGTTGGTTTTGTCGTGATGTGGCTCATATTATTATAGATAATCAAAGTTGCAGAATGTTTTGTACAATATCAATACAGATTATAATATATTACAAAATGTAGAGATCACAACATTGGATTGATTTATATAAACTTCATAAGTTCACAATGGAATGTAACCGACAATAAACAAGAACAATAAATATACACTAAATAATATTTACCTAAATGAAAATATAACTTGCTAAGTCATATTATTGGGTTGGAGCAATACTGTTGTAACTCGTAGTACATAAAGAAGGAGTTACAACAGTTTTGCTGCAAATCTTCAAGTATTATGACAAAGCAATTAAATAATCTAGAGATATATGTATATGAACACTAAGCTACAACAACTACTTGAAAATAATCAATAGGACAGAAACAGGCCAGTCCTTTTGTACTTTTGTACAGTCTGACCTGACTTTCTAAACTACTGGCCCCTTGTTCATATAGATTTTAAGGATCAGAATAAATTTCAAAATTCAGCCGTGTCATGACAAAACCAACATAATGGGTTTGCCACCAGCATGGATCCAGACCAGCCTGCGCATCTGCCCAGTCTGATCAGGATCCATTCTGTTTGTTATCAGTTTCTCTACTTGTTATATGGTTCGTAAGCGAACAGCATGGATCCTGATCAGATTGCGCAGGCTGGTCTGGATCCATGCTGGTCGCAACGCATTATGTTGGTTTTGTCATGACACGGCTCAAATAGCATATTTTGATGATTAAATTTTACAAATAAATCATGACGATTAAACAATACAATTGTATAGGTGTTTTTTATAACTAGATCAAAATATTGATCTTGGTCTTACATCTACCGTATTCCTAATTTTGATAATTTCATTAAGATGATCAGGATCAAATTTAAAAACTAGAATATTCCCCATTGTTTATCTTCACAGATTGAATATTTAATGTTAATTTGATCAAATTGGACTTGAAATAGCATGCTTATGATATTTAAGAATAAATTTATTGTTATTTTACAAGATTTGGGCATTTTACAGTTGATTAAAATATTGATCCTGATCCTAAATTTGATCCTTATATATATTTTGATCTGAATATTTTTGTATTCATTTTGTTACTTGTCGATTTTATCACAAAATATAGTTGTTTCTTTGCAAATCATCAATTTCTTGAATTTTGTTTATGAACCATTTGCTTCTAGCAAAATACGATCAAATTTAGTTTTTATAAAACAATGTAAATAAAATTAGGATCATTTAATCCTAACCCCGATCTTTTTTTAATGAACACCAAGCCAGGCCTGGCTCCAAAATATCAGTAAAGTTTGTTACAACAAAGGTGCGTCTACAGATCTATAATATTATAATTAATGAAAAATAAAAATAAATATCTAAATCATTTAAACAAAGCTGAACCGGAGCCACTTTTTCTAGGATCTGCGACAGCTACAATCTCATCTTTGATCTTCAATACAGCATTTACAACACTCTGTTCTTTATCTGTAACCTGTATATTATGTCCCATCTTTGCCAGACCAGCCAGTACCTTGGCCGAGAAACCCTCTGAAATTTGATAGGGAAATACTTTAATTTATATTACTATTATCCCTTTATTATTAGCAATATACAATGATGCCCGACAGATGCTTTTTTGTTTTGCCATTTTGTTTTGCCATTTTAAAACAAAGTAAAATACAATTCACGTGTAATTATTGAGGCCTTTAAAAACCTGACATCTTTTATTACCTTCAACTTCTACAACTTTAGCATCAGGATTGTACAGCTGACTGTGTATCCTTGGTGATGACACAGATTTCTCCAAGGTCATTCCAAAGGTCAAATTGTTCAATAATGTTTGGGCAATACCTGAAATAGAGATAATAAAAATGGCTTGTATGTTCATTGAAAACGAGAGAATAATTTAAAGATAAGATTCAATACATCATTTATACCATGCTGAACATGAAGTGTTCATACTTTTGTTTACTCATGTTTTGCTTGATTGAAATGCCCTTATAAAATTCACAAGCCACTTACATAACAACACTCTTGATTACTAATTCCAGCTTTCATTAAACCTCAACCCACTAAATTTCTAATATGGACTTGTCTTTCCTATTTTAGGACTATCCATCACATTTTAAGTATATCAAGATAAGAATTTTAAGTTGGTCAGCAAGAATGCAATAAGTACGAATCAACCATTTAAATGGAAAAACATGTTGGTTTCAAATTGGTTAATAAAAATTACTTCAAAAAATTAGATTCATAAAGCAGGATATTGTCATCTATCACTATTTCAATCCCTTTGAAATTCTTTGTCAATGGAGGACAACTGTTACAAAAAAATTTCCTGTACTAGGACAATTATTTCCTACAACAGTTCTGCAAATCAAAGTATGACTATGAAAAGAATTACCCATCGCTTAACCTCAAAAGAAAGTTAAAGCCAATAACTGTTGAAATAGATGTAGTGTGTTAACGTAGCAATTAAGGAAAATCATTTGCCTAAATTGTTCAAATTGCCTATGTAAATGATCGGCACTGACTAAAAATGAGATCCAATTGGAAATGAGGGCCCAATGAGGATCCAAAATGTGTTCAAACAAGATATTAATCTTCATAGACTTTGGAAAGAGAGCTATAATACTTGTAATAATGATAATAGACTAGAAACATATACAAAGATATTGGTATATTTCAAGATACTGATCATTACTTTTGTATGAAATTAAAGAAACATTATCAATTGATGTGTATTGAAAGTATTGTCAGGGGTATAAGTGCTATACATGTAAAATATAGAAGCCAGAGTTAAAACTTATCACATATATGATATAGTAGTGGTTGAGAAACAAGGGGTGTAAATATGGTTACATATATATTTGACTCGGTCAGTTACGTACCTGTTATAATTCTGGAACCATTAGCTGCACCACACACCATACGTAGCCCACATAGATGTCCCGTCTCATACACTACAGTAGGAGACATACTGGACATTGGTCGCTTTCCTGGATGTATTTTGTTCTATAATAAATAGAAATATCAGTTCAAAACATCTGAGTGCCCATCAAAATAATTTTTTTGCTGTTTTTTTTGTTTTTTTTCATGCAAATTTTTACAGATTAATATTTTGGTCAAAACTTTGGCAACTCCCCTAAATTGCTTCCTGTTAACAAAAAATTCCCTTTTTTCGTTTTGTGAAGATTTTTTTTACTAACAGGGCGTTTGTTTGTTTAAAGGGTTTTTCCTCAACCCACACAGATAGGTTTTTTTGGCGACATTCAGCTTTTTTTGGTGGAGGGAAAAACCTCACGTATCCTTTTTGGCATTTTCCTGCCAATGGGCCCTGAGAGAACCACCAAATTTCGTTGCAGCGGGATAGCTTTCGCACATAAAAAAAACAAAAAGCCTTGGGATTTAAACCCCAGTTGGGGAGGGGGAAGTGGTTTGAAGAAACAACCCTTTCCACCGGCCATGGACGCCCAATAGACCGGGCGCCAAAAACAATTTTTTAGCCTGGGAAGATTTTTTGTCCCTTATGATTTTTAATAAAATCTTAAGGTAGCACAAATTGGCAAAGGACATTGGCACTGTTTTACATCTAAACTTTAATACAGTAATTATTGAATTGCAAAATAATTTAAACCCTTACCAGCACACTTCCTTCCCCTGGTTTATTGAAGTCAGCCATTTCATTGTTAAGCAGTATACCAGATTCTGTTAATATCATACTTCCAAACCAGTCATTGATTGTTCTTAAAATGAAAACAAAAGACATAATAGTATACACTAACCAATACACTCCTAGATTTATGCAAAGGATAAGCCCTTGCGTTAAAACTTTAGAGTCCATTGTTACTTTGAAGTGACATTATGCTCATTTTTTCACTGTAGAGTTGAATTAGTTCGTTTGTTTTTGTTTGTTTGATTGGGTTTTACATCACACCAACACAGTATAGGTCATATGGCGACTTTCTAGCTTTACTGGTCAAGGAAGACCTCAGATGCCCTTCCGTGCATTATTTCAGGCACAGATGGTCACCTGAGTAGAACCACTGACTAGCTGGATAGCTTACTGACATGAAAGGATACAAAGTCCCTGTTGGGATTCGAACCCACAGCTATGAGGCAAAGTGAAGTCAACGACCATAATTACTCCATTTAAATTTTATCAATGATGTTAGACCTGTATCTAAATATGAAATTTTCAGACAGGAAAGCCTCCTTACCAAGCCAACAAAACAAATTATTGTTACAAGTATATCTATCTTATATAACAACATCTATACATGCATAACAAAATTTATTGTTCATTTTTTTTAAAAATCAGTATTTAAATAGTCAATTGGTTTTTCAACATTAACCCTAAATTTCTATCAATATTCAATCCAAAAGTCTAATCATCATCACAAATCCACTGGTTGTCCCTCTATGCATAATTTCAGACACAAGTGACCACTTTCACTATGGTAGCTGAATAGCTTCTTCCCTTTAAAGAATGTAAAATTCTTAACATGAATGAAACCCTTAGCAACAGCAGGCAAGTTATTTCAAGCCCGAAAACTTAATCATTTGAAAAGGAGGTTTCAGAAGTTATAGCTACTATCTGAAACTAGATGATTAAAATATATCTTGTCCAATGAAAAGAAAAAAAGTAAAGTATTTACAATGTTTATTCTGCTGTTATTTTAAATTGTTGCAACGTTTTATTTTGTAAATATTGACTGAAATTATAAACACACACCCATTGTTGACAAGAAGTAACTTACGTAGTAACTGAGACCATAAGCTCGGCTGTATCTATCACAGATATATGAGCAGTCCCTTTATCTGCAGGCAATCCAACAAGGTTACCGTAGAAATCAGCGTCCATTGTGACGTTATTTTTTGTCTTATTTCGCAGACGTGTCGCTTCTTCTTTGCTTTAGACATAATAAAAACATCCCATATGATAATTATGTTATTTTTAAAAAACAATAAACGAGCCGAGTCATGACAAAACCAACATAATTGGTTTGCAACCAGCATGGATCCAGACCAGCCTGCGCATCCGCGCAGTCTGATCTGGATCCATGCTCTTCGCTATCAGTTTCTCCTCTTGTTTTATGGTTCGTAAGCGACAGCATGGATCCTGATCAGACTGCACAAATGTGGAGGCTGGTCTGGATTCATGCTGGTCGCAAACCCATTATGTTGGTTTTGTCATGACGCGGCTCAAATATCTAGAAATATGGGCATGGATATCTTTTTTTTTTTCTAAACCAGCGTAACTTCTACTATTCCAAAAGTTAACTACCTATATTTTTAGAATAATCTTATAATAACTTTATTGTAACATAACTTTTTTTCTGTAGCACCATATTTTTGGGTAAAAGAATCCAAAACTATCAAAACCATTATTTTTCTGACTTAAACAGACTTAGATAAAACGGATATTTATAGACAACATACTACATATAAATACACAGAATACTGAAGCCAAAAATAATGCTTGAAGTCACTACAATTTTTATTTATTTATATATTTTTTTTTTAAATCTTAAATTTTATTATACCACCCTGATTTTTTTGCCACAAAGATATAATCTTCCCTCTCCCAAATAAACCACTAAAACAACAAGTGTTGGTAGGACAGCATGCTCGAACATTCTTAGAGCTTAAAAGTAAAAAAGCCTGAATAATGTAGTTTTTTTTAGAAATCTATGTTAAAGTTATGGACCTGGGATAGTGCCCTTCTATTATGTTCTCAAATTAGTAAATCAAGTTTCTTTCCTTTCCCTCTAGTAGTTTTGGAGATAATTTGAACGATAAAAAACAATATTAAAGTGTGACACTGACACCGAGGATAGTACAATTATTACAGCTCTCCCTATTCTTCCAATAGTTAACCTAATAAACATTTTCACTCACCTTATCATCACTTTCGTAGCATTATCAATACTTGCTGTGTTGAACTTTGGGTCTCCTAGAAGTTCTTTCTGAGCATAACCAAACTTGAACGCCTCTAGTATTCTGTGATACGTCTCATTATCGTTTTTAAGAGAGTACCCCTCTAAGAAGTTCATTATGGACAAGATAACAGGTCCACTCCCTGGTGCCGGTACAGACTCTACTGTATACCCTGAAGATAATGAATAATGTTTGTTTGATCAACAAACTTGTTTACAGACACCGTAAACAATAAGTCTGTTTGCATGACTTATCTGTCACATACTACTTCAAGTATGGCTTACAAACAACTTGTGATACCTGTGCATTATAATTTCATCAATATAAACTATTTGGTTTAATAGATTTTGTGATTTTTATCAATTTTTTTAATGGTCCATATCACAAACTCATAACCCCCTACCCCATCCCCCATCCCTTCTGGATCCTTGCATGTTATATCATTAAAAGGGAAGAAGACTATGATGCTTTTTTTATACTGCACCTGTGCATGCTCAAGACCCCTACCAAACCAAATTAAAATAAACTAATTTGATAGACCCTTCATAATCAAAATTTCAACATCCCTGGCAGAATTCCAACCCATAACTGTCCCCGGCAAAATAATTGAAAGACATAAACCTGAACGACTCATCCAAAGAAACTCTGTTATTTATACATACCATGGTATTTAGTTCTGACGACTTCGCGAATCTCTACGGAATATCCTGCTAAATCCTCATTTGATAAAACTCCAGGTGTATCTACCTTAACAATCTGTAATATCAAACATAATATTAGAAAATATAGGATTTCAATGGCAAATATTAATGAAAATAGCATCCAAATATGAAAGAATTTTTTTTTACATCTACCAACACTATAAAAGTCATATGGCAAATTTCAAGATTTAACATTAGCCCTCTTCGTGCATTATTTTAAGTACAAAGGAGCACCTGAGATCAACCACCGATGTTTCGTAAGCTAGATGAATAGATTCCTCTTGTGAATTAATCCAACGTCTCTGGTGAGATTCGAACCCACGGCAGTGTGGAGGAAGTGGTTTAAAACCAACAACTTCTGGATCAGTAAAAAAGTTTTAATAATTTCTGTAAGGTTAACCAACAAGTGCCTTGGCAAGTGGTTTAATATGACAATAGCTAAAAATAGCTGAAGAGCTAAAAATAGCTTAAGAGCTAAAATAGCTTAAGAGCTAAAAATAGAAATACATGTACGAAAAAACCACTTTACCTCCTTGACAATATCATCAGCTATACTCCCATGATAGAAAATATTGGAGCCTTCGGAAGCTATTTTATCTAACGTAGCAGCCAGATCGGGCCTTTTTATTACATCCCCTTCCTGTTTCAATGAACCGTCCGTCTGTATGTAATACCTGGCTAATTTTGAATCCATGAATGCATCTCTTCTAAACTTTGGACTCTTAAACACCATTTCTAGTTAAAGCGGAAAAAAAATCATGTTCTAAGTCAATACTGGTCATTGTGGATTTCAGAGGACTGCTAAAATAGTGCCTTATTATACTAAAAACCATTAAGTTCAGTCATGAAATATAAAAGGTATATAAATGATCAATAAACAATTTGCTTTATCAACAAGCATCTGTTATGCCTGGTTGTGCAACAATTTTTGTTCTCGTACTAGTAAACACTGCCAAATCTACTTCCTGGAAGAATGAATACTTGTGGGATTTTTTTTTATGGACCCATGCTCATGACCATGGAAGAAACGAAACTTCCAATTCCTGGGTTGAAAAGAAAGAAACTTTCACCACTTAGCCAAAATTCCCCTTTGTCTGTATAACTGAACTGAATTAAGAGCATCAAAAGGAAGGCAAATACAGTAACTAACAAGAGTTCATTAATTCAATACCAGACTTTACCTGCTTTCATGCAAACTTCTGTACTGACTGATAAATATGCAGCTAGCCACAACTCATTGCACTTTGCCTTTTTTTCCACAGTCACTAGCAAAGGTTTGCAAGTGACATTCTAATGAACTCGCAAAATGAGAAATTAACTTGCAAAGCTGAATTAACAGGGTTTAAATTTCTGTTTCCAACATCCATGAAACTTGTTTTCAAAACATGCAAAAATCATGCATCAAAGTTAATGACATCCATTGTGTGTTTGTTTTATCAAAATATTTAACAAAATTACTAATTTTGTCGGCTGTCTACCTTGCGGTTTTCCTTGATAACCATGTAAACAAGAATTCTTTTAAAAACAGACACTATTTATATGTTTATTCCAAAGTGTGTGATTTTTCCTGCCATTTCCAATGTGGTTTTCATAGCCACCATCCCGTCTGTAGATTTTCCACAGTCTTTCTGGAAAAACTCTGGAAAATAGCCGATTTTCCATGAATTTCCATGAATTTTCATGAAAACAAGCTTTTTTCCACAGTATTTACAGAGTACTCTGGAACAATTTTCATGGAGAACTCTGGAACTTGACTTTTTCATCAAAGAAATAACCATGAAACACTTCTGGAAACTCTGGAAAGTTAACACTTAGACAATTTTCAAGGAGTTTTACTCTGGAAAACACTTAGTCATTTTTGAGAAAGTTTTGGACTTAGGAAATTTTCATTTGATTGCTGCATTTATGTACACTTCATTTAATACATTAAATTTTAATATTTTTTCTTAAGTTAAAAGCATAAATAATCTTTTTAATATAATACAGTTTTCTGGTTTTAAGACATAATTAAAATAAAGACAATTTAAAATCTGGCATTGACACAATTGTAAACTGTTGACCAGATTTTTAAAAAAACAGCAAGAACATTTTTTAATGACTTTAATTACTTAGCACTGAGATTGGTCATACATGTATACTAACTGTAATTAAAAGTAGCAGTTGTCAAAAGTTGCCCATCAAGAGCTTAACTGTTTCTTTTTATTGCAAAAAAAACAAACAAAAAAACAACAACAACATGCAACCCCATTGCCACACTTTGGCATTGAAAATGCATTAAGTTATTGTTTCATTTAACTTTCATTATTTTCAAGGTATCTCATATCAAGCCTGATCTGAGTGGTTCATTATTATATATTACCCTAAGTTAGAAAAAATAAATACACAATTAAAGAGAAACAATTTAAATTTAAGAACAAATGTAATTGTTATGCACTTATATTTCTTTATTAATTGATGATAAATTTATTATGTATCTCTATTGAAGTATATATAATTTATATATTCATCCTGTGTAGAAGTAACTTATGCATAGTGATTAATTTCTGGAACATTCAAATCAGCATCAGCCACAATGTAAATATTTATGACCTCTCAAGTGGAACCCACTGGTTTCATAACTACCAAGGTTAAACTCACCTATCTGATATAAGAGAATAAAAAGAGGTAAAGCAGGTTTACAACATACTATATTACACTGTAGCTCTCAAGTAACTTAATACCCTTGCAGAACAAATCACAGGTCAGAACACTCCTTCCAGACGGGTCATTTGAACAGAAGAATTGAAAGATAATGTTTATTAGTGCCTAACTGCTTAAAAGTTATAACTTGAAATATTATGTTTGAGCATTGGAAATTAGATCAAATGAGTTTAAACTGGACAAATTTACAAAAGTTTTCTGGAAATATGAACTTTTAAACATGTGTATTTCATGATTCAGTTAAAATGGAGGGAACTACATGTATATAACCATTTCTAACAGTAAGTACAAATGTATTTTTATTTTTTAACACTTATTATGTTAGTTTTTTCAAACTTTCTTTGCAAGTATACACTGTTTCAGTGATTGTATTTCTACATACATGTAACTTTTCAATATTAGATAGATAGTTAAGAAAATCTTTTTCATTTTTAAATAATGGCGGGAAATTTTAAATCAGAGATAATTATTTTCCATTCAAAATATTGGTGATTGAAACAGATTCCATATCAAGCAATGAATTTCCAAATTCACATTTAATAAAATTCATAATATGCCTTAATTGTAATTTCTTGTTACTCATGTACATATGTTTATTTTTTCAACATATTAGGTTGCAAACTTTCAAGTCTTGGAGTCACATGAGATGTTTCAACTCAAAGGATGTCAGATGAGGGAAAAGTGATAAATGTACTGTTGAACAGAACTATCCTGGTAATAATTTAGTTTGTTTTGTAAAAAAAAGTTGAAGTAACATGTTTTCATATAAATGCATGCTATTTTCAAAACTCTAAACAAAATTTTGTTCTTCATGTTTAATGCATATATTATTGTTATACTGACCCTCAAACTTTCAGTGGTAATTAAGTACTTGTGAAGGATTAAGTAATTTAAACTGCCATTACATACAGTTGTCATTATATAGATATAGGAAAAGCAGGGAAATAATTGACACAAGTTTATCATAATGTTAATGTTGACCAAAAATAAATTATTTTCATCAAAGCATGGTGTTTACTTGATAACTCTGTGCTGATATTCTGCAAAAATTATTTAATTGAAAGTTTTCCATCTTAACTTTTTTCACCCTTTCATGTTTTTTATCATTTATTATCATGTTTAAACAATACTAATTATATTGACATTGTGCATATAACACAAGTACATGTATTTATATACTATTAATTCATATTTTTCAGTATCCATCGGAGAGGTCACACCACAAGTCAAGAAGATGTTGCATCATGTGAAGACAGTGAAGTGAATAAAACACTCTGACATAGAAATAATTGTGAAATGTGCAAATTACTATAAGTGTTTGAATTCTTGACAACTAGAGTGTTTTTTGGATTTGGTAATAAAAACACAAATGCAAATTAAAAGGTCATTTGATTTTAGTATGCAACCATCATTTCAGTAATCCCAAAATGTTCCAGAATTATTTCAAGGCTAAATGGCATTTTACTCCTGAGATCCTATTAACTGCGGAACTTTTTCCAGAGCGGCTCCGGAACATTTTCCAGAGTAACTCCGGAACATTTTCCAGAGTAACTCCGGAACATTTTCCAGAGTAACTCCGGAACATTTTTTCCAGAGTATTATGTCATTTTAGCAGACCAATTTCCAGAGTTGCTTTGAAAACTCTGGAACATTTTCATGGAAAACTCCGGAAAAGTTTCATGAAAAAAGCTCTGGAAATTCATGGAGAAAGTATATGAAAATTCACATTTTTTTTCAGTTTTCTTTGAACAACTCCGGAAAACTAGTCCGAATTATCCAGAGTTGGCAATTTCCATGAAAATTCCGGAAATTTCATGGAAATTCATGGAAAATGTACGGACGGGAATTGTAAGCAAGACTTCTTTTACAAAAATAGACACTATTTAAATGTTTATTCCCTAGTGTGTAACATATATAAAGTGTTTTATAATACCTGTATGTCCGGTCATTTTGAAGCCATTTCGTGCAATATCAGCAGCTGGAGCGACTACAGTTTTCCAAGCTAACCTGTATACAACAAATGAGCCGCGTCATGACAATACCAACATAATGAGTTTGCGACCAGCATGGATCCAGACCAGCCTGCACAGTCTGATCAGGATCCATGCTGTTCGCTTTTAAACCTTTTAACAAGTAGAGAAACTGATAGCGAACAGCATGGATCCTGATCAGACTGCGCGGATGAGCAGGCTGGTCTGGATCCATGCTGGTCGCAAACGCACTTTGTTGGTTTTGTCGTGACGCGGCTCAAATGTGATTAAAATTATATGCTCTATACAGTTTAATTCATTTATTGCATTTGTTTTAAAGACCTATCATCACATTCCATTTTGCATTCTTCAGGTGATAACTTGATAAGTGTCTAATATGTTCTAAAGCCATTAGGTAAAACATAATAAAACTCATGTTTGCTCTTCCTGTAAAGAAGAAAACTTATGTGTTCTTAACACATAATGTGTTCTTAACACATAATGAACACATAATGTGCAATTTAACAATTGGTACTTTAACTTACACCATTACTTAAACACTAAAGTATTTTATATGGAAGTCAATATACCACTTTGTTTACATTTTGCTACCGTTGTCAAAAAAAAAAAAAAATCACATTTTTTTAAGGTAATAAGCATTTTCAAAGGTTCTTAATCCATGATTACGATATTATAAAACATATGTTTGCAGAGATTGAAAATTCCACTTGTCCATTCATAACTACAAGTAGAATTTAAGGGAACTCGATGCAGGACGATGCCTGTACATTGGATTTAGAAGCTACTCATCCTGCAGGACAAGTGACTCTGGAATATTTTTCGATGCCTAGTTTGTCCTTTCTAAGGAAAGATGAAAAATATTTGTTTTTGAGGCATAATGTGCCTTTAACATAGTAAAACTTTTCATGAGACTATATCATATATATAAAATATAGAAATATTTAGTGTGCGTGCTGTTCAATATGAAATGTGAACACATGTATTAGTTTACACAAAATGTTGTCTTACTTTCCATATGTTTTGTGAGCTTCTTCCATACCCTTGAGTTCCCCTGGAACAGCCACTGCCATCACTCCCTGCAAACAAACATACAAAGCGGTGATCAATTAAATCTCCTAATTGTAGTATTAAATTGCATCCATATACCAAAAAAATATATATATAATTTCAAACTTGACATATCAATATTTTTGGTTAGGAGATTAATGATTAGTGATCTATTTAATAATGTAAATATAATTATATATCAAGTATCTGAATAAGAACCAAGCTATAAAATTCATATTTCACAAGCCATCAGTTTTGTTTTTTTGCATATTAACCTTATATTAACACATTTTTGGTCCTATTTTGTTGGCTTTTCACAGCATTGGATTTCCCAGAACACTACCACCTAAATAACGAACTACTTATCCCACACGATTTCTGAATCAGCAAGTGGAACACAAAACACCATTAGATTCAATATCTGGGATCAATTGCTACCAACCATGTGGTTCCGTCTAAGATAATAATTTGTTTGTTTGTTTGTTTCATTTTACACCTTTTCCCAACAGTTAAGATAATAATATTTACAAAAATAATACAATATACAGAGAAGGCTAGCGTGGAGTCTTTCACACTGAACTTCAAATACATACCATTTTCATTTTTGATTCATCCTTGTACATAGCTGGTGTCACTCCAGCGGGGGCCGTCTCCCTGAAGTCAAACACTTCAGATTTCTCTATCTTATGGTCATGAACAAGCATGAAACCACCCCTGAAATGGAACAGTATATCAGCCGCGTCATGACAAAACCAACATAGTACGTTTGCGACCAGCATGGATCCAGACCAGCCTGAGCATCTGCGCAGTCTGATCAGGATCCATGCCGTTCGCTATCAGTTTCTCTACTTGTAATAGGGTTGGTAAGCAAACAGCATGGATCCTGATCGGACTGCGCGGAAGCGTAGGCTGGTATGGATCCATGCTGGTCACAAACCCATTATGTTGGTTTTGTCATGGCACGGCTCAATTATGAATAAAAATAGGATCACTTCAAAAATAGGGTGGTAGTAAGAAAAATGTTACACTATCCATACAATAAGAAAGTACCTCAACAACTGACGTTTTATTTTAGACTTCTACAAAGTAAATTTGCCATGCAAATAGATAATAATGATAAATTCAAATCAACAAGAGCTGTTAGTTGGACAGCATGCTCAACTATTCCCAGTGCTTGATAGTAAAACAAGAGCCTGGATAATGTTAAACTTTCTAAGTTCAAAAAGGGGCCATAATTCTTTACAATAGTAAAGTACAATAGTTTTCCCTATTCTTGGAATAGCCGAGTTAAAAGTTAAGTACACTGCACATATACATGACTTTAGAGTTTTTTCATGTGTATAGCCCAGAACTTTTTGTTAGAAGCAAGTCAAAACAGTTCAACTTTATTAAAGCTTTTCTTAAAAGTTGAAAGAGTATAATTTTATTGCTACTGCTGGTAGAATTTTTTTGGAATAAAACAAATACAGACATACAGGTCTGGCCTGGCTATATACAGATGGCAAAGGCTAATCATTTACGGTTCAATCAGATTGAGTTGATATGATCTATCTATATACAAAGAAATCCCATACCCTCCTAGCCCCGAGCTTTCTGCATTAATCACTCCCATACAAAACATAGCAGCAACCGCAGCATCTACAGCATTGCCTCCCTGCTCTAACATCTGTAGTCCAACATTGGAACATTGTTTTACACCACATGACACTGCTGCATTAGCACCAATCTAAATACAAGGCAGGTACATGTAATATTATCATTCGATATTAAAGGAATGCCACTGAGATACCAATGGCCTAAAAAAAAATTCATTTCTTACACACAACACTGAGTATTTTTCTCTTGCAGGCATCAAAAATATTTTCAGACCAGCTGGTACATATATAAAGACAGAGATTGAAAATTCTGCTTGTCAGCTAGTAATTACAAGTAGAATTTAAGAGAACTTGATGCAGGACAAGTAAAAAAAAATCAAAAATGTTGCCTGCACATTGGATTTAGGAACTACTCTTTCTGCAGAACGAGCGACTCGTTTTTCATGCCTGCAGGAGTGTTAAGAAAAAATACTCTGAAATAAATTGAAAATCATATTTTTGTCCCCTTCTTAGTCTGACCCGAGTGAAAAGCATTGCACACCGAAATGGAATAAGAGGTAACTTCTTTTACTTGTTTCCTTTATTTCCTTTTGTTTTAATACAGGGCCCTTGGCCCCTTATTCTATTGTTATGGAATCAATTTTTTGTTCTCTTTTGTTCTGTTTAAAGTTAGATGGCCCTCTATTTACTTTAAGTAGTGCAGGCCATCACAGCAAGACTTACAAGAGCAAATCTACATGCCCCACCCCCTCCCTAAGAGAGGGCATAAAAAAAACAAGAGGGCCATGATGGCCCTGAGTCGCTCACCAGAAATAATGGCTTTACAGTGTTGGAAATTATTTTTGAAAAGAATTTGCAGAAAGGCAAGTCCAGCTCTTTCAGCAAGTTCAGCTAAACTTTAACTTGCCCCTCTAGTAATATTCTTTCACAACACTGAATGTTTTAGCTTTTTTTCTTCATTATAAAAAATAGGGCCACTAAGATGGCCCTAGATCACTCATCTAACCCATCATTTCATTATTCACAATATAAGTAGAAATATTTTGCCCTAATATTTTGGAAAGGCTTTGTTAAAAATATGTATGTTGCAAGTGTGTTCCTATGAGACTATGTAGAATAAATGCAGAATAAATGACCACTGGAGCAGGATTAATTTTGACTAAACAATTTTTTTTATAACTTTTTTAAATGAAAACACGAAATGTCACATGCAAAACATGTAAGGTGTAGATGTTTGAGGACAACAAATTTTTAATACATTCTGTATGGTAACAATATTACAGTTACTGTACCTCAAAAAAAAGACAATAGGTCAAACATTGTAAAAAATATGAAAAGAAGGCCAGTTGATATCAAAATTCAATTCAGCATCAGAAATTACACCCCTAGTCCAAATTTCAAGTCTGTATGTCAAAAAACACAAGAATGAAGGTCAAATTATATTAAAAATATCAAAAGTAGGTCAGTTGATATCAAATTCATTTCGGCATCAGAATTTACAAACCTGGTCCAAATCTAAAATCTAAATGTCAAAAAACAAGAAAGTAGGTCAAATGGTGTCAATAATACCTAAAGTAGGTCAGCTGGTATCAAAATTGAATTCAACATCAAAAATTACACAAATTACACCCCTGGTCCAAATTTCAAGTCTGTACATAAAAGACAAAAAAAGTAGGTAAAGCGATATCAAATATATCAAAACTAGGCCAGTTCATATCAAAATTCAATTCAGGATCAGAAATTAAACCCCTTTCCAAATTTCCAGCAGGTACATCAAAAAACGACAAACTAGGTCAAACAATATCAAATAATAATATCAAAAGTTAAGTCAGTTGATATCTTAATTCATTCCGCATCAGAAATTACATTCCTGGTCCAAATTTCAAGTCTCTGTACATCATTCCAAATTTCAAGTCTCGTACATCAAAAACAAGAAAGTATGTGCAATGGTTTCAAAAATATCAAAAACAGTTCCACTGATACCAAAATTCAATTATGCACATGAAACTCAGGTTCAACAGTCTGTCCCAAAATTTATTGAAATGTGTTTTTTCCAAGTTTAAATCCAATTCAGGAAGAAAAAAAAATGAAAAAAATACAATTTTTAACAAAATTCAATAACAAAATTTAGCATACAAACTCATCTTTGTTAGTCAGGTACAGGAGAAACAAATTTTATGTTTCTTTAGGCCTATTTTTTTTCCTGGTTAATGACCTACAATTGACCTTACAATGATGCAATATGATGTCCGATTTCTAGTTACACATCATAAACAGGTCATGTTCCAAGCCATTGAACCTCTTTTGGAAAAATTGAATAACATATGTACACATTCCAACATAAGTTGTTTCCCTTTCATTATGAAACATAGAAATTTATTGAAATTTATGAAATTCTTACTGAAAATGTCTAATTTGGATAAAAGAATGAATAAACTATGTATGGGAAGCTGCATATCCTATTATAGGCCAAATAAAGTTGGTCTTTTCTAAAAAAAAAAAAAAAAAGTTTTTTTAATGACACTTATAATCATTATATTTATACTGTGACCTCCTATAGTGTGAAGAGTTTAAAACATAACTTATCTTCTTTGTGTTACCTAAGAATGCTACAGGCAAAGTTTGGTGATCATCCATCAAATATTTCATTAGGAGATGATGTTCAAAGGTTTTTCTATATTTAGCTTTAGCGGCCCCAATCAAATAAATATGTACAAACTTGATAAAAGACTACCTAAGAGTGCTACAGACAAAGTTTGGTGATTTCAGTAGGAAATGATGTTCAAAGGTTTTTTCTATTTTTAGCTTTGGAGGCCCCTAAAAGGGGCAAATCAAATTAATATGAGCAAAACATGATAAAAGACTATGACAAAGTTAGTTGATCATCCATCAATTAGTTCTGTAGAAGTAGATGTCTAAAGGTTTTTCTATTTTTAGCTTTAGCAGCCCCTAAAAGGGGCCAATCAAATTAATATGAGCAAACTTGATAAAAGCCTACCTAAGAATGCTACAGACAAAGTTTGGTGATCATTCTTCAATAAATTCTGTAGAAGAAGATGTCTAAAGGTTTTTCTATTTTTAGCCCTATAGACCCCTTAAAGGGGCCAATCAATTTAATATGAGCAAAGTTGATAAAAGACTACCCAAGAATGCTACAGACAAAGTTTGGTGATCATCAACCAATTAGTGCTGTAGAAGAAAACATTTAAAGGTATTTCTATTTTTAGCTTAAGAGATCCCTTAAAGGGGCCAATGAAATTAATATGAGCAAACTTGATAAAAGACTTCCAAAGAATGCTACAGACAAAGTTTGGTGATCATCCATCAATTAGTTCTATAGAAACAGACGCTTAAAGGTATTTCTATTTTTAGCTATAGCAGCCCCTAAAAGGGGCCAATCAAATTAATATGAGCAAACTTGATAAAAGACTACCCAAGAATGCTACAGACAAAGTTTAGTGCTCATCCATCTATTAGTTCTGTAGAAGAAGATGTCTAAAGGTTTTTCTATTTTTAGCCCTAGAGACCCCTAAAAGGGGCCAATCATATAAATGTGAGCAAACTTAATCAAAGACTACCAAAGAATGCTACAGACAAAGTTTGGTGATCATCCATCAATTAGTTCTATAGAAACAGATGTTTAAAGGTATTTCTATTTTTAGCTATAGCGGCCCCTAAAAGGGGCCAATGAAATTCATATGAGCAAACTTGATAAAAGACTACCCAAGAATGCTACAGACAAAGTTTGGTGATCATCCATCCATTAGTTCTGTAGAAGAAGATGTTTAAAGGTTTTTTCTATTTTTAGCCCTAGAGACCCCTAAAAGGGGCCAATCAAATAAATATGAGCAAACTTGATAAAAGACTACCCAAGAATGCTACAGACAAAGTTTGGTGATCATCCATCCATTAGTTCTGTAGAAGAAGATGTTTAAAGGTTTTTCTATTTTTAGCTCTGCTGACCCCTAAAAGGGGCCAATTGGAATGACACGAGCAAATTCAAGTGTGACTGTCACAAGGATGCTACAGACCAAATTTGAAGTAAATCTGCCCAGTAGTTTCAGAGAAGAAGACGATTGTTGACGCATGACGACGGACGCCGGAGCATCCCCCTTTGATACTAATAGCTCACCCTGAGCCTTCGGCTCTGGTGACAAGAATTTTCAAGTCAATATAGTGATACAAAAATATTACACATAAATACCTGAGGAGGACCAAGATAGATAGACAATATCAATGCTATAGTCACAACTACTGAGAAAACAAATGCTCCAATCACAATGATTCTTAACCCTCTACTCTGATCCTGTAACCTGAAATTAAAATGGAAAACTATGTTACCAATAAAACTTTCATACTTTGCAAAATACAGTGATATTACTGCTTTTTATTTTAACTTTCCAGTGTTTTACTGTAATATATCAGATGATTATATTCTGATAAACCACAAGTGAAATTGATAAAATATAAATTTCACTGTAGCCGGACTATATCTGAATGCGGATGAAAAGAAAATCATAACTAAATGGAATGACAGGCAAAAATAAATGCCGTTATACACACATTTTGCTTCTTTAGGAAAGTCGATATCATCATACATGTTAAAAATTAACAAAATTAGAGAAATTTAACAGAACTATATTTCAAACATGATGTGACATCATGATGTGATGACATCAAAAAGGAGAATGTGCGGCGTTATGCGGCAAAATCAGTAAAAAGTACTTAAAATCCCTTAAAAAGCATGAAATAAAAAGAAAATTTATTTGTTTTACATATAAGAATTAAATATATTTCATTCGTGAACACCAGCTTTTCTATTTTCACTTGAGGCTATGCCACTCGTGAAAATATTGCACCTGATGTTCACTCAGTGAAATATATTTCAATCTTACATGCAAAACAAACAAATATCCTCTACATGTTAACAAACTTGTCATTTATTTTTCTTATAAATATTTACAGTTTTAAAATCAATACTAAGAGGTTAATACACGGCAGGAGAGGGCCGGAAGGTGATAATCGGCCCGCAAAATGAATAATGGACCCGAGGGCTTTAGCCCGAGGGCCATTATTCATTCAGGGCCGATTATCACCTTCCGGCCCTACTCTGACGTGTATTAATGTCTTTAATACACTTAGTAGATCTAATAGTTGCATTAAAAAAAAACAAAAAACAAAAAAAAAAAACAACAACAAAGTTCTTTCTTTGAAATTCTTGTCTACTCTTCTACTGTTCTGTACAGAGATGTTTACTGTTTCTGTGTTCAAAGCAGTAGAATCTAGAAGCAAGTTTTATTTTCATATTTTTCGGAATGAAATGGTCGTATTATTTCTTCAAATTTCAATAGTAACAAAAATGTGTTTGTACTAAATACGCTTAAGCTCTCATAATAAAAATAAAGCGATTCGTGCTGACAACCTACTTTCACTTTTACAGTTAACTGTTTGATGACGTAAAATATGACGTCATTGTTTCAGTTTGTTCACGTGCACATGTTCTGCGGGCTGATAACTAGTTCTCGGCCCCGGGCCGCAAACTCATAATAGGTCACGTGACATTCATAATCAGTTGAAATCATAGGCAATTTGTTACTATATATAGTAACAAGTGTATTAATATCAATTTACTCAACATTACAACAGAGAATGGTTATATTTATAAACTCATGAAGAAAATTTATGATGAGAAATTTTACTCCCACCTATAAAAGAGTTTTAACTTGGTTTCACATAAATGAGAAAAATATGTTGAATTCACAAAACATACTGATAATAAACATGAAATGTTTATACATTATAATTTATATTCATTAATATACACTCATATAATGATATTAATCATGAATTTTCTTCACATATATTAGAAAAAAAACCCACTCAAATATCACAATAATTTTTACTTACACTGCTTTCCCGGCTTCAAGCACCTTCTTTGGTTTCTTGAGAGGATCACTATCTGAGTGGGTGGGGCTATCTTTGACTGACATTTCCTGTATGTTGCCATCATTGTCTAGTAACTCCACCTTATCACCTATTCAAAAAGTCAATAGAAATTGAATCACTTAATACCTTTATAATATATTCATTTTTATTCTTGTGTAAGATCATACATCCTGTTTATTTCTTTAGAAATTAAAGAATATTTTGCAGCTCACTGTGGTAATATTGTTTTTGAAATTTGGAAAAAAAGTTATTTTGAACTGGTAATGGGGCCTTATGATATACTGACTCCTGGTGATGAGGCAAAAATGTGCTCTAGCTAGCTACATCCTGCTTATTATCTCCGGAAAAAAAATTACATGACAATTTGAAAATTATCCGGAGAGACAATCCAACATGCTTTCTGCAAACTTCTTCCTCTTTTCTCAAGAAAATAAACAAATAATAATTAAAAGGTATGAATTTGAAATCTTAAATGATCTTGTAATTGCAGTCTGACAAAACTTCCACTTACTTCAATTATGGCATGATTGAATATAAAATTACAAAATCAAATTAAAGTATAATCAACTTGCATTATAATAATGTTCAATATTATATTAATTAATAATAAGTACCTGGAGAGCCTGTCTCTTCCAATTTATCATAAGCACCTTCTGAAGTCATCTTTTATGTTAATGCTAACCTGAAAGATAAACAAAATACCTAAAAGCTACAAAACTTCAGATGAGCAAAAATATTTAAAGAGAAAAATTAACTAAGATTTTAAGAAAAGAAAAACAATTTCGGAATCAACGAATGATTCGCATGTTATATGCGATTAAAGGCTGATTTTGCAGTTTTTATCAACAAATTTCTACTTCGTTTCCAAAGCAGTACCAGCTATTTGGTCGCTTTATTTGAGTATTTGACCTCCTTTTGGTAATTTAAGTGGATTGTGCTGTCTGCAGTGTGTAAAAAATTTCATGAAAATTAGCACGAATCTGGAGGCATGCTGTTTTAAGATATATTTAATATCAATTATATTGGATTGCATCACATACATGCTTGTGACATTAGACCTGGAATTGTCACACTAGGCCTATGTTTTTATTAAAAAAAAAAAAAAAAAAACACACGGCATGCACTGTATTTTGTCTACGTGTTTTAGTCCACAGTAAACAGTGTAAATGAGAGAAAAATAAACCAACTGGTGTAAGATTTTAACAGTCTTTTAGTAGTCAAAAATGGTTTGAGGGCGAATAATCTTTGGGGCGAATCGTTCATAATTCGCCTTTTGAAACGTTTACAGAGTAAAATTTAATAAAAGGACACCGTCATACAACTGTTCATTGCATAATCATCACACCTTATTACCTTTACTTTTATTAATGTTGCAATGAACTTTTTAATTTTACTTCACATTAATTTATGAGAAACGTCAATATTTTCATCACAGTCACCAGACGCTTGATTATTCGGTAAGTACTATTTAAGGTTCCAGAGTAATAAATTAACAGTCGGGTGGAACATCACTAAATATTTTCCTTTTGTTTTTGTGTTGTGTTGGTTTAGAACTTAGGCATGTATCGGGGTCATGCCGTACCTCATTGTATTGTGCTAAATTGCATTTCATTACTTTGCATAGAATGTGTAAAACATACTCAAACTTTTTTTGGTTAAAGAGATTGAGTGGTTTATTTTCTTACTGAACAGGTCACCTTAGAATAATGTTAATAAATGTGACTATGTATGTAAATACCTGACTATTGTTTATTTTTGAAGACATTCAAAAGATCATTTAATTGTTTAAACATTAACTACGCAAATTTTAAATCACTGTTCACCAAATTTTACAAAAGAATGTTTAGAAGATATACTTATATCTATAAATTGATTAATAAACGCTAGGATGTGTACGTCCAATAAAATTTTTAAAAAAATTATTTAATGATGGAGATTTATGATTTATAAACCGGGAAATGATAAAAATAAATGTCTCGTGTTGTTATATACATGTACATACATGAATTTTTAATTCACATTCTGTTCAAGCCGGTGCTGTGGTGGAATGTTGTGGGGACAAAAGAGATGTTGCACACTTCCAATGATTCTTTCACGGACAAAGTTGCATACTCGTATATTCACATTTGAACCTTATCTCTATTCATTGCATCCTTCTCTTCTTTATAATCAGTTGTAAAACATACTCAAACTTTTTTTGGTTAAAGAGATTGAGTGGTTTATTTCTTACTGAACAGGTCACCTTAGAATAATGTTAATAAATGTGACTATGTATGTAAATACCTGACTATTGTTTATTTTTGAAGACATTTAAAAGATCATTTAATTGTTTAATAATTAACTACGCAAATTTTAAATCACTGTTCACCAAATTTGACAAAAGAATGTTTAGAAGATATACTTATATCTATAAATTGATTAATAAACGCTAGGATGTGTACGTCCAATAAAATTTTTAAAAAAATTATTTAATGATGGAGATTTATGATTTATAAACCGGGAAATGATAAAAATAAATGTCTCGTGTTGTTATATACATGTACATACATGAATTTTTAATTCACATACTGTTCAAGCCGGTGCTGTGGTGGAATGTTGTGGGGACAAAAGAGATGTTGCACACTTCCAATGATTCTTTCACGGACAAAGTTGCATACTCGTATATTCACATTTGAACCTTATCTCTATTCATTGCATTCTTCTCTTCTTTATAATCAGTGGTCACTTTAAGAGATTAGTATTGAATCCTATTTAAATGGATCCATGTGGTGCAAGAGATGTTGCACTGTATTTCATCTCTAATAATCAGGCTTCAATTTCCCTTTCCACCATCCCAATCATATTTTTCTCTCCTCTCTACATTTCATCACTCAATACCATATGAAGTTCTTTAAGAAGTAATGATTCATAAACTGACCCCATCTCCTACGCTATTTTTAACTCTGTATATTTGCTATAATGGCTCTCGAGGAATCTCCTCTTTTAAGAATTCTGATTCATATAAAAAAATCAACGAACCACACCCACCTCATGCCAATAATTTAAAAGAAAATAATTTTACTGACGGGAAGATCTTGTAAATAGCACATTAATTTTGATATTGGTTACAGTTATCAGGTAAAAATTGTAATGTTAATTTTTCATTTATCATTTCATTGCCAATCTGCTTTATATCAGGGGTTACTGCATCCCGAACCATTCCATTTTCCATTCTCGATTCAATAAAAAATATGGCCGGCCTCTTTCGATTTCAAATATGCGCAATGAATGCATACAGGTACATGTAATATACACGCTAAGTAAGAGGAGCAATTTATTAACCATTATCATTATTAATTGTTTCGTCACAGATTTCTTTGATATAAAGTTATCTCCATTAATACATTATGTGATGTAAATCTAATGCATGTCAGTCATCAAAATATTAATTAATACATACATTGAGCTTTATAAAAGTATATTATATATCAACTGAATATATTGAGAGCATTCGGCTTTTTTATCTTTCTAAGTTTTGTGCAACTACTTTTTTACATACAAAATTGAAAATAATGCAGGCTGGGTTGATTGAGATTGTTCATGGACGGGAAAGATAAATGTCTAACCTAGCTTCTGTTCAGCCTTATAGAATCGATACTTTATGCATTAGAAATAAATACCATTTTTAAGTTATTCCCTCATTATGCAAGGCCTTTCGATATTTAAGAAAAAAACAACAAGAACAAACGCTGAGTGTGAAATAATGTGTGATAAAAGTAGTAAAATGTAAATAAGTAGTATTTAGACTTCCATACAAAATACTCAATAATTATAACTGGACTAATAGTTGTCAAAATGCAAAATACGTTAAAAGATGGCTAGCTACAACTGTATATGGCTATATGCAATTGTTTTGGAAACCGTACTGTACAGCAGGAGACGAAAAATGATTTTTTTAATACTAAAAGTATTAGCATTATATTTGTTTTATTTGCATAGACATTTTCTTTTCCATTTTCCAAAAATCTCTATATTAAATGCCTCTTTAAACAAGTTAAACGTCAGCATAATGTTCTTCACATCATTGAATAGAAGATACTGATCTATTACAGTGAAGATGAACTCTGCTGCCGCTGCTGTCATAATGTTTAAAGTTTTTTCATTAAATTGTGAGGACTGGCTTGGCCTTTAAAGAATGTGAATGAAGAAGCGCTTACGTATTGATCCATACTTATCTTTATTTGAACATTTAAATAAATCAGTAAAAATACACCAAAACAACACATATTTTTTTTAAATCTTTACATTTACATTTAAATAAGACATTTGTACATAAGTTTGAATAGCTCTTCTAGCATTTCTTTCAGTTTTGAAATTTAGAGTTGTGAAGGGACCTTCTTCAGATTGTGAATGAGCCTTTTTAAGATCCCTGCAGTGCTTATAGGCATATAATCTAGTATCGCATGTACCAACACTGTACATAGGAATGCTTATTCCAAACAGTACCATGCCAAATGTTTGACAAGCGATAGGCCTGTAAATTTATTACTCTGAAGCCTAAGCACCTAGGTATTAAATCCGACGTTTTGATATCGTCACATTTTAGAAAATGCTATGAATGCCTTTTAAACACAATTAGATTATCAAAAGATGGTAACACATCCGTTGAACATTCTGCAATTATACTGACTGAACGAGAATTTCCGCTAAATCTTTTGGATTTGTGATTTTCATGGTTTGGTAGTAATAACGGTGCACAATTACAACGAAAGAGCAACTGCATCTCATTTTTTCGGGAAAATCAATATTATTTTGTTGTCTAAATAAGTGTAAGTTGATACAAATGAAAGAGTTTATAACGATATCATTGCTTCAAGTTTAAGTGTCTAATCTTTTAGCTGATATGCCCAATTCTTTGCCTATAAAACCGAGATCGAAAATGGTTACAAAAATATCAAAATTTTAGAGAACTTCAATTTTCACTGTTTCTAGATAATGTTACCTTATTGATTTCCTTTTAAGTTGGTGTAATTGTATAGTATCTTCTATGTATCAACACATGATGATTAGCTATATTGTTTTACTACGTAGGATGGTAACTTTGTTAATAAATTTAAACTTGCCTTTCAAAGATTTCGTTGAAACTAAACATACTGAAACTAGCTCAATATATTATTGGTAAACTAAACACACAAAAGTGTCCTTTAGAAAGGTGACAGGACATCTCACCTTGATGTTTTGGCCCTTGTCTTTTTGGCTACCAATTTTAATATGGTACACCCTCAAACTTGTCAACAATGGACACAGTTGCCTTTGTTGAAATTGTTCGGGCTACAATATCATTTATCATATAATATGTTTGATGAGCCTTTTTAAAAAATCCCCCCACATAAATGTAGAAGTAATATAGCGCATATATACATACAATTCTTAAGTATATTCGTAAATGTTTGTTGGTTCAGAAAAAAGTAACTAATCGTAAATTTCGTTTAGAATACATTCATTTTTAGATTGACCAGTTTTCACTACATTTAGGAACAATGGACAACTACATTACACATCTGAAAGGAAATCAGGATTGAAACTGTGTGGCTGGGTTGTGTTTAGGGATGCGTTCATTGAATGCTACCCATCCTTTTCAATGAATAAATAAATATGCTGCTTAAAACCAAAGGTCCCTCGGTCACAATGCTTGCTGTCACCCTGCCACTACTCTCAATAGCTGACAAAACATTGGGATTTAGGGGCACAGTT